AGCTGCTAGTAGCATCTAGTAGCGTTCTTGCTCCTAGTAGCGATGCCCTTTGTTAGAAGTAGCTTCTTGTTTTGACCACACATTTCAGGTTTATCTTTTCAGCAACAAGGGGACATCAGCTCCATGAGCAGAGGCACTGCAAATACATGTTCTCTTCAAGGCGTCCTGGCAGGAGATCTGTCACTACCAAGGAAAGAAAAAGCCAAACACATAAACACAATATAAATAGAACGTCCAAAGCTCCAAGGGTCTAACGATCAAAATAATCAAAGAACATGTACTGAACTGTGGATTCCCATCCTGTTGCTGAACTGAGCCAACACACTCCAGCCAAGGCTTCCACGTAGGGAGCGCAGACCCTTCTGAAGGAATGTCACTTGTTGATGACAATGGCCTCCCTACTTAATAGCGATGGTCTCCAACCTGGCAACAGTGCCAAGACAAGAAAGATGATAACAGAACGAGGTTCTCCCACACTTAACGTTCCCTTTGCGACTCAAATAGGTTCTACCAAATCTTACCAGCCCCCACAACAACTGCAAAACATCTCCTATAGCAACAAACACTCTTTCTATACTTCTCGAATTCCGGTGCTCATGTTGTGCGTCGTCTCAACAGAGCAAAACAAATGGGGCAAGCGTGCTGCGCGTTTGCCACACACACACTTATAGATATGCATACGGAACTGAATGCCACATGCCACACGCCAGCCTAAGAAACTTAAATCCTGAAAGGTCCAGGCAAGCCCTAAAGAGCCTGGGGGTCTTCAAAAGGAAGTGAGGCCAAAAACTCAGTCGAGATCGGGACGACAGGACGACGACGGTCGCTCACAACTGCAGAGTGCATGACGGAAAGCTTGAAATGCAGTGGAACAATGCAGGTACGTGAGAGTGATCAGCTCTCATATCCCGTGCGTCAGGTAGCTTCGTTGGACATGGTCCCTGAACGCACGCCATGTCCCCCTGCTTGAAAAAGTGAATCAATCAAGTCAAATTCAAAAGAATCCCTGTGACTACAAGGGGCACACACACACGGCTGGGGAGGCAAAAATTAAGGCTAGCACGAATGTGCAAATGTGCGCGCAGCAAAGACAAAAGGATGAAGACATGAGAAAGAGGACGAGACGGGACAAAAGTGTGTGTGGTTGCGATGAAAGAGAAACCAAGTGCACAGGGACAACCGATGAACCCCACCTCATTGTCGAGACCTGGGCGACCTAAAACCTGAGTTTAAAAGTAGATGTGCACGTACAAACTAAGGCCCGGACCGTTGTGCGCGCAAGAGAAAGAAAGGAGCGAGATGAAAGGACATGAAGCAAGGGAAGACATGAAAAGAAAGAAGAACAAGAAGTGTGTGAAGGGGAAAGGATGAAAAGGGGAACCAAATGGAGGGGACGGGAACCGATGAAACCAGACCTCATTACAACGACCTAGGAAGACCTGCCTCGTTTAAGTGTGTACAATGTGTGTGCACCTAAGAATCCGACAGGTTCCAATGAACCTTGACTTAAGCTTTGGTCGCTACGACCACGTACGGCCTCCACCTTTGGTCGCTACGACCACGTTCAGGCATAAGAGCTGCTTTGTATCCGGGCAAGGGATATGTTCGACGAACCCCCGTTCGACGGGTCCACGGGAGGCACTCTGCGGGCTCATCCCGGGCTCTCACTAGGAGAGACACACTTATAGATATGCATACGGAACTGAATGCCACATGCCACACGCCAGCCTAAGAAACCCAAATCCTGAAAGGTCCAGGAAAGCCCTAAAGAGCCTGGGGTTCTTCAAAAGGAAGTGAGGCCAAAAACTCAGTCGAGATCGGGACGACAGGATGACGATGGTCGCTCACAACAGCAGAGTGCATGACGGAAAGCTTGAAATGCAATGGAAAATTGCAGGTGCCTCAGAGTGATCAGCTCTCATATCCCGTGCGTCAGGTAGCTTCGGTGGACATGGTCCCTGAACGCACGCCATGTCCCCCTGCTTGAAAAAGTGAATCAATCAAGTCAAATTCAAAAGAATCCCTGTGACTACAAGGGGGGGCACACACACACACGCACACACGATCGCGTGTCCGGACTGCATGATGGGTTGATTTTGTGGAAGCCCGCACAAAGAGAGAAGTGTACCAAGTTTCTTTTAGACAGGTCACGGCCTTTTGGCTATGAACAGAGTAGATCTGAGTGAAGAAATCAGGTCACGGCCTTTTTGGCTATAATCAAGTGTACTCAACACACCGAAGCCCTTTTTAGCAGCTGAAAACAGAGCAGCGGAGCTCGCGTAGGTTTTGAGCCCAAGCTGTTTTCGAGGGTTGTAAGACCACCTCGGCTGGATCACGTCGATCCACGAGTTGTTGGCCGCCATGGCTCGAGCGGCTGGCGGCGCTGGTGTGGACTCTCCAGAAGCGACGTCTTCGATGGAGAGTGCAAAGGAGGAGCAGGGGGCGCTGGCGATCGAGGACATCGCGGCGAGCGAGGGCGCGCTGGTGGTGGCGTCGCAAGCGCTGCTCCCTCATGGACCTCCCACCACCTACGGACCTCAACGAAGAGAGGACGGCCGTTCAAAGAAGGACGGAAAGGGACATGGGACCTCGAGACAGGTGGAGGTCAACCCTTTTTGGAGCCAGACGGTCAAGGACGAGGCCATGCTCCGTGCGATGCGGCCAGCAGGACTTCCGGAAGCCTCTACATCGACGACAAGACCTACGGCATCCGGTGGTGATGAGATGGGGGTGGACATCCAAGAAGTCCTGAGAGCAGTCATGTCGCAAAATTCGATGCTCAAGAGGGAACTGGCGGATTTGAAGAAGAAAGTGGAGGACTCCTGCAAGGAGAAGGACCGGGATTTCAAGGAGGCAAGTCGACCGAAGCCTCCCGCATCGACACCTCCACCGAGTCCACCATCGGGACCGCCGCCTGATACCCCAGAGGCTGAGAAGGGTGCAGGTATAACATCCCTCGGAGCGATCCCTGAGTTTCCAGGGAATGAACGACGAGGAGAACCAGGTAAGCTATGTGACCCAGCTCAATGGCGACCGGGAGTATGTCATGACGCTGGACGTGGAGCTCCACCTGTACCGGAATCTTGGTTGGGAGCACTTCATGCTGGACACCAAGGAGGGCAGGGTCAGAGCTATGAAGGGAAGGAAGTGGCAGGGACTCCACATCCTGGAACCCAAGGAGGTATAGGACCCGGACGTGGAGGACTACCTGATTGTGCAGTACGAAATGGAGACCTGAGTAAGGGGTCACCTTTGGAGCAAGCTGCCCAATCTGTCCTGACCATAAGAATCCTTTAAGATAAAATGTGTGAAAATCATAAATTTTATGAAAACAAAAAAATCTTAAAAAATGACAAATTTTATTTTTCTGATAATAAAAACTTATTCTTTTGGAAACACATTTTATTTATTGATAATAAAATTCTATTTTCCAAAAAATAAAAATAAAAAATATTTCCAATAATAAAGCTTGTTTGGAATAATAAACTAATCTTGCGAGTATACACGACCACCACCACCAACGCCACCACCACCAACAACAACATTGCCAGTGGGTTCGTGAGCTTCCTCACTTTCGACAGGACATCGTGGCATATTGCCACACTGCTTGCGATGGCCTAGCTGAGCCGTGCATAGATCTCTCAAAACTGTCAAGAAAAGCTAGTATACTACATTTCCAACGCGCTCAGAACCTCTCTCAAACTCTCACGCGCAGCTCTCTCAAAACCCACAATTAAGTCTCTCAAACCTAGCTTATGCGCAAGTCTCGAACAGGCCTGGTGGTGCCTTTGGCACAGCAGGAGGTGATGCACCTGCTTCGGGTTTCTTGAAATGTCTGCGTTGAAAGTTTGAGGGTTTCGAGGGTTTGGAGAGTTTCTGGTTCTGGAATTTTTTGGGATTGAAAGTTTGAGGGTTCTGAATGGAGAGTTTTAGTTTTGGGATTGAGAGTAATTATTTGAGGGGCTGACTGGCTCCTGAAAAGGATGAGGATTCACCCTGTCAAACGAAGGTTCAGTCTCTCAAAACACTCAGACTTAACTCTCCAAGCAAATCGAACAACGTCTTCCTATTGACAACCTTGCTAGTAGGGGTTCGTTGAAATTTCCTCAAAATTTAAACCCCGAAAGCTCAAAAACCAGAAACTCAAAAAACTCCTAAGCGAAAGTCAGTGGGCACCTCCTCCAACACTTGCTCCAGACCATATGACCATAAATGGCTGCGGCATTAAGAAAACACTCGGAACTCTCAACTAACCTATAACAACGTATATGCTTCGATCCTCACCACACCATGGACCGTCCCCATGAGCCCATTTGGCACGCATAAAAATACACAGTTTTTCCACCCACCATATGCGTCAACCGATCTTGTCGATGATTGACCAGCGGCTCGGTATTCTGATTCGATCGTGGTCATACATGTCTACAGGTGCCCTCCTGACGCTTTTGCTGGAAGGTCACCTGCAAACTCTATTTGGAAGGAAGACTCTGCTTCGCGGCTGTTTGGCATCTAGATCTGCCAATTGGCTGTCTGGCATCTAGATAACCCTGACTCGGGCGTTTAAGCCCAAGGTTGTTGTCCAACAGTTTTGCCATAAAACAACTGCATTTTGCCTGCCATCCACCACTGTCACCCTTCCAAAATCCATCTCATAACCCGCCTCGGACTTCTGAGGCCCAGGTTTGCATCAAACAACCTCACCAGCGCCATTGTGTTTTCTCGTTGCCCGGAGGGTGTGCCGCGACCAACCTGTTATTTTTGACAACTTGTCATTCACAACTTTCATTTTTCCAAACTCTGACGTATCTTCTCGCCAAGTTCCTTTGAACCTTCAAGTCCATGTCGTCATGTCGCCCCGGATTTGTTTGAAACCGTTCTGCATCCCAAAAGGGTTGAACTGAGAAGCTCTATTCACCTCAAAGATCCTCAGAATCCTTTTGAACTCCCTTCATCCGAAGAGTGTTTGATCCAAAACAAAACGAAGCAAATATAGGCAATTCTTGATGCAAAAGGCTGGGGTAAAAGGCTATGCTGCTGATTGAGCTGCGAAGGCAATCTGCAAGTCAAAAAGTCGGCGCAAAAAGGATGAACGCATCAAATGAAATGGAGAGAGGGAATCGTCACGGGCAGATTCCTACAATTGGCCTGATTCACATGGTTTTACTTCTCACTCCTTCTCTTGCTAATCAATCTATTCTTTGCGCGGGTAGCTTCTCAAAACCTGTGAATAAATATGTCTATGCTGCTCGTTTTGCTGCATTTCCATATGAACGTGTAGCTTTCGAGGCGTTCACCCTGCAAAGCCTAAACCTCAAACACCCTTGCTCCAACTGAAGGTCAATGAACTTCAGATCAGTTTTCCTTATTTAAATCCTATCTTGCGACAAACACCTGTTTTTGATTGGAGTCCTACATTTGGGTGCCTACAAAACGTTAAGAACAATCACAACTCTTCACACTGGCCTGGACACTTTGTCAAAACCACAAGGCCACCTTGATGCCACGATCGCTTGAACCATTTCATCTCACATTTGTTGAACATATTCTGCAGCCCAATATCCACTTCTCACCCGGCTCCAAATAGTCAACATCCTTTTCATCGATCCCACTTTCCTGTACTTAATCAGTCTGAAGTAGTTGTTTTTTCCCTTCTTGGCTTGCTTGGTCATTTGCATCGTTGGTTCGTCGCTCTGCTTTTCCCGGTACATTGATTGTCCTCTCTTGCTTTCTGTTTTTCCCGGTACATTGATTGTCCTCTCTTGCTTTTATCTCTTTGCTGTCTCCTTAACAAGATTGCCCCAGTCTTGCAGGCGTTATTCTATTGCTCCAGTAGGTTGCCAAAATTCTTACCTAGGTTGATTATATATTATTTAATCTTCAATCAATGTATATACTATTCCAACTGTATTGCGAGGACTGGTATTGCAAACCAAGCAAGGTGCATTTTAAACAATTGGTTCAGAACCAAACAAAAACAAACGCACTTCGCCTTTACACAAACATCCTTTTGAAAGAAAATGACTCCTTTCAATGGACGAGACCTTTGCAACAAGGTGTTTGGAATGATGAACTTACTTATTATACAAATGTTGAGGAAAAATGTATAGACTCATTTTTTGCACGAGAGACTTGCGCAAAGGAGGGCAGCTGTACGAAGAAGTCTTCTGGATAAACTTTGAACACGTTTCCTTGCGTTGCCACTGTAGTTTCTCACCCTTGATCGCACTCTAACTTGACAAACTTATGTGGCCCAAAGCTGCTGAGATGACTCAAGCTCCTTGTATTCAATTCCTTCGCCTTGGCGTCTTTTGTAACTTGCCTGGTCTTAAACCCTAGTTGTGGAAGTTTCCTCTCGCTTTCTCATGGGGTGTTCTCCCAAGTGTCGTAAGAAGGTTGACTTCTATTCGCATTCTGAAGTAGTTTGTAAAACACTCTCTCTTGTCGCGAAGCGATGTTCTTTAAATGCTATTCTAATCACGCTCTAACTAGACAAACTGACATTGGATGAACACATGGGCCTCAGAAGTCCCAGGCCCGGTTATGACCAGGTGCCTCCAAATATCCAGGATGTGGCCCAACGTCCACCACAATTGTGCTCCAAGCACTTTGCTCAGAGTCTCAAACTCTCAAAACTCTTTAAACTCTCAAAGCCCTCGCACTGACAACAGAAGTCTCTGAAAAAGTTTCAAGTCCGCGCAGGCTCAAACACTGTAACTCTCCAAGCTCTCAAAACTTCCCTCTCAAACTCTCAAAACTCTTAAAACTCTCACTGTAACTCTCCAAGCTCTCAAAACGCCCCTCTCAAACTCTCAAAGCCCTCACACTGACAAAAGGAGTTCCTCAAACTTTCAAAAATGTGAGCAGGCTCAACCCTGTCAATATTATATATCTGTTCTGCCAATTGCCTTGCCACAAGCTTTCCAGAGACCAGGCGAGCGCTTTCCAATACTCTTTGACGGTTTGCTGCTTTGCCACCATATGGCTCCATATCAAGCTGACAACGAAGTTCTCAAACTTGCTGTCAACAGCCTCCAGTTTCACAACTGTCACACAATTAGATTAGTTAGAAAGAAAAAACACTAGAGGCTTCGTGTTTCACTGCAAGGCGCGTTTGTGCAAAGCAAGGACCGCCACGAAACAATTGCCACGGATCTGCTCTTGTCTTGCTTGGAGGTTGAGAGTTTGGAGAGCCTTTTTCGTTTGAAGGTCTGAGAGTTTTGAGTGTTGAGATTAGAGTGTTAGGGGTTGAGACTGGAGGTTTCTAAGAGTTTTGAGAGGAACTATCCGAGCAAAACTTCAATGTGAAAAGTTCAATACATTGAACTTTCATAACAAAACTTCAAAGTGAAAAGTTCAATGCATTGAAGTTTCATAGCAAAACTTCAATGTAAAAGTTCAATGCATTGAAGTTTCATATCAAAACTTCAATGTAAAAGTTCAATGCGTTGAAGTTTCGTATCAAAAGTTCAATGCATTGAACTTTTACATTGAAGTTTTGATATGAAACTTCAATGCATTGAACTTTTACATTGAAGTTTTGCTATGAAACTTCAATGCATTGAACTTTTCACATTGAAGTTTTGTTATGAAACTTCAATGCATTGAACTTTTGACATTGAAGTTTTGACATGAAACTTTTTTCTTCACACTGGTTTAGCATTGAACTTTAAATAAGAATGTGCAGCGTTTAGTTCAATAAAGAACTACACAAAGAAATTAAAGAGGAACCCACCCTAAACCCTAAACTCAAGGGACCCACCCTAAACCCCAAACTTTTAGATAAAAACTGGCAGCGCTTAGTTACAAAAAGAATTGCAGAAATAAACTAAGAGGAACAAACTTTAAATAACAAAACGGGCAGCATTTAGTTACATAAAGAGTTGAATAGGAACCCACCCTAAACCCTAAACTCAAGGAACCCACCCTAAACCCTAAACTTTAGATAACAACGGGCAGCGTTTAGTTATATAAAGAATTACATAAAAAGATTAAGATGAACTCACCCTAAACCCTAAACTTTAGATAACAAAATGGGCAGCATTTAGTTACATAAAGAGTTGAAGAGGAACCCACCCTAAACCCTAAACTTTAGATAAAAAATGAGCAGCATTTATATAGTTACATAAAGAGTTGAAGAGGAACCCACCCTAAACCCTAAACTCAAGGAACCCACCCTGAACCCAAAAC